GGTCAGGCTGTGAGCACAGGAAGTTGGGACCTATCCTTGGGAGGCAGCTGTTGAGCATAAGTTCTTTCCCCACAGATCTCACATGTCAAATTCACATGGGCTCACAGATGGCGAATCTATCCGCAGACTCCTGGAGCGGTGGCTGGGCCCACCCCTTTCCCCAGCAGGCGGGGGCATCCCTAGAAGGTGGGATTGTTCCCACTACAGATGAGAAAGATGAGGTGCAGAAGAAGGTAAGTATCACAAGATAAACTTTGGTAATTGGCTGGATTCATAGAGGAGTGTTTGGAAAACGGGTTCCAGAGGGTGCATCAACTGACCCTTCTCTATCTCAGGAGCAAGACAGCCATTGGCCCACAGCACACAGTGTGTCTTCCGTTCCTGAATCCCGCTGCATCGGGCAGGACGATCATCTACTTGGCAGGTAACTCTGCGTCTGGAGAAATGAGCTCAGTTCAGAAGTTTACAGTTGGATTTCTCTGGTGAGCAGACTGGAAATTCAGGCACCCCATGAGTTCTGAGCGGCACCGACAGGCAAACGCCGGGAGTTGGGACCTAGGACCCCGCCCCCCGCAGCCCCCTCCCCGACAGCTGTTGATATGAGCTCCTTTCCTGTCTGCATCCCACAGCTCCTTCATGTCAAACTCAGCATCACAAATGACACAGATCTACTAGCAGCTTCCTGGAGCGGGTAATTCCCGAGTCCGCCCCTTTCCCCTGCGGGTTCGGCTTTCGAGTGCACCCAGCAGGGGGCATCCTTGTCCTTCCACTGTCCACCCTGGGGGCCAGATTGGCCTGCTGCCAGCAGTGCCTTCCAATCAGCAATGCCCAGGAATCAGTCCAAGGCCAACTGCCCCAAAGTATTCCCGTGACTTCCTCCTGCCACAGCTAGTCTACTATTATTTACATTGCTTTTCTTCCTTTGTCTTCCTTTGTCAGCTTAGAATTAGAACTTTAATGCTTCTCTTTATTTTTTTTTTTCTGGCAGAGTCTCACTACAGTATCTGGTCTCTAGCCTGGCCTAGAACTCCAGACGGAGCTCTAGCGGTCCCCCAGCCTCAGCTTTCCAAAGAGCTCTGACTACACGCATGAGCCACCATGCTGGGCAACCTATATGCAGTTTTAAAAGAGGAAACCTCCTGTTCAGTAAAGGTCTTTCAAGTGACTCTCCATTCCTAGCGCTGGCGTCAGGATTTGGTAGGAGACTACAGGCCTTCATTGAGGTTACCCTTGGGAATCCCAGGACCTGTCCAGGGAATGCCATCAATGGGTAAAGATTCTGTGGGCTTGGGGCCTGAGAGTGAAGGAGCAGAGCCCAGAAATCATTGAAAGAGGAACAGAAACATCCCTCCCTTCTAGGCCTATGGCCACAGGCAGGACAGGAAGGAGGAACTTGGATGTGGGGGCCAGATCCCTTGCAGGTGACAGGTGTAAGGCTTTGGGAAGGGACAGGGATTTCCCTTGCAAAATTCATTCAAACAGACAGGGAACCTGACCCCAGGGAGACAGGCAGATATGCAGGGGCTCCCAGGAGGCCCCCAGGAAGGCTAAAGGGAGAGGGCAAGGAGAGACATTGAGGGAGGGGTTGGAGCACCTGTTACCTGTAGGAGTTTGGAAACTATTTCCTGGAGCCTCATTTAGCTCTTGTTCTAGCCTCTGCCCCTCTGGTCTTAGAATTGCTTTTCTGGGGACCATTTCTGAGCTAGCTTCCCCTGAAGTGTTCACTACCCCTTTTATTTCCTTTTTGAGACAGGCTGTCTTGTAGTCTGGGCTGGCTTGAACTCCTGATCCCCCTCCAAGTGCTGGGACTACTGGCATGTGCCACAGCCCTGGTTTTACCTCCTATTCTCACTGACACTAACTTGTCCATCTCCGCTGCCCTCCCTGTGCCCATCCTGAGCCCATCCCCACTCTCCACCTCGGCTCTGACCTGCAGAGGTAATTCCAGGGCAGGGGGAGGGCCTCCAAGTTGGCAGGGTGGCACAAAGACCACTGACGGGACCTACTGCAGAAAGCCAGGGCCTCAGAGGGGAAGGAAACCATGGGTAGAGCTTCTAGCCTCCCCAGCTGGGCTGACATTCGATAAGAGTGGGTTAGGTAAGAGGAAGTGGCTGGGGCCAAGCTGGGCTGGGACTGAACCTCTGGGGTAGATAGGGACAGTATGAGGATCGTGACACCCTGAGCAGGGTCTAGAGCAGGGCTGCTCCTGCCTTCCAGAACCTCTGGCCCCCAGAGTCCCTGTGTGTGTGGGACAGAGCACTCGAGGTAGGCTGGTGGCAAAAGGCTTCTCCAGGCTGTGTAGGCAATGAAGGCTTTAGGCCTTCTCTCAGAGGCTCAAAGGCCCAGAGAGCCGTCGTGGGTGAGGGGCATATTGCTTCACCTGACCCTCATTTTCATTGGGAGGAAGCGTTGAGAAAGAGGAGCTGGGTGCTCGGGTAACTTTGCTTATTCAAAACACTCGATGCCAGCTGGGCCTTGGCCCATCCCTGACTCCCACCTCCAGTGTGCTCCCACCCTGCTCTGTGGAGGACCCTCTTCCTAGAGACCTCTCCGTGTTCCACCTCATTCCAAGGCTCTGGAACGGCATCTCCTACTGTCCAACGCCTCGCATCCCTCTCTCCCAACCGTTTTGGGTCAAATCTGAGAGACTCTCCTTGTAGCGGAGGCCCTGGCCCCAGGACTTCTAGACCGCATGACCTGCCCCTCAGTTCACAGCAGCCCAGCTAAGGAAGCCCAGAACAGGAAGTGCCGAGGCAGAGGGTGGGGAGGGACTCCCAGGAGAGGAGCCCAGCCCCCTGGGCAGAAGAAGCTATAGCAGCCCCCTATTTCAGACAGAGGAGGAGGCTCATTTACAAGGCAGATCGGCCAGATCCCTGCCTGAGGCTCTGAGTCCCGCATCCAGCCACTGCCACCCTTGCAGGCTATAAGAGCATGCTGACTTCCGGACCGGTGCCGGGCGGGTGCCATGTGAGCCCAGTCTAGCTTCCCCTCCTGTTCACCCTCCTTCCTTCCCTCCTGTCTGCTGGTATTTGCCCAACCTCTCCAAAGAGGGACACTGGACATCATGTCACTGCTCAACCCTGTCCTGTTACCCCCTACCGTGAAGGCGTATCTGAGCCAAGGGGAACGCTTCATCAAATGGGACGACGTGAGTAGGGATGGGCCCTGGGGGTGGTGGGTGCTGGGTAGCTTGGGTGCTTTGCAGAACGGGTAGCTTGGTTTATGTCTCTCTCCCAGCATCCAGGCGCCTGTGTGGCTTGGCCAGGCAGCTGGCACAACAGCCTAGATAAACAAGTCTGGGGTGAGCGTGGTGTCCTTGACTGCTGCCGGGGAGCCTGTGGGTCTGGGAACGAGGAGATAGACTGTGTGCCTATGTGTGTGTGTTCATGTGTGTGCGTGCGTGCGTCTGTGTGTGTGTGTCCGGGGGCGGGGGCACAGGAGCAGAAAAGGTAATCTCTTCGGACCTGATCTGCCCTTTTTCAAATCCCTGAAGGTTTGTTTCTAGTAATTTCAGTGTTGGCAGGGAAATACACACACACACACACACACACACCAAGCCTTGCAAGGGCAAGGAAAGAGGTCAGCTGGGCCCTCTTCCCAGCCCAGACACCCCAAGTTTGCTCTGGCAGAAGGCCCATAACCAGCTCGACCACTCCAGTCCGCAGAATAAGATGTGTCTTGTCCCAGGGAAGCTGTTACTATGGGGGTGGGCAGTCACAAAAGGGCTGTGGACCCAGTTGGAAACTTGGGGCTAAAGGTTCTGGAGCATGGAAAGGAAGCTGCTGACTTCTACTTCCCCTTGGTGGCTCAACTCAGCCTTCTACTTGCTACTACCTGTAAGTTGTCTACAGGGAAGGGGGAGACTGCATTGTACCCCAGTCCACTGAGCCTGCTCCTTCCTAAATGGCCTCTGGTCCTTCTGGGCCCTTGAAAACGCTGCCACTAACCACAGCCTCTCATGATCTACGAATAAATAAATAAATAAATAAATAAATAAATAAATAAATAAATAAAACTGACTGTCCTTCAGGGAGGCCAGGCCCCCTTAAGAGAGCTCTAGACTAGCCTTAGGAAAGCTTGGGGTTTCCAACAGCACATGGCACTTGGTGGCTCAACTCAGCCTTCTACTTGCTACTACCTGTAAGTTGTCTACAGGGAAGGGGGAGACTGCATTGTACCCCAGTCCACTGAGCCTGCTCCTTCCTAAATGGCCTCTGGTCCTTCTGGGCCCTTGAAAACGCTGCCACTAACCACAGCCTCTCATGATCTACGAATAAATAAATAAATAAATAAATAAATAAATAAATAAATAAATAA